TGAAATACCTCATATATATATATATATATATATATATATATATATATATATATATATATATAATAACATGATAAGTGTATGCTAGTATAATCAAATTATGATTGACTTCTAGGGCATACACTAACATTAATCTTATAGCATATACCCAACAAATCTCTTTCTAATCCATGAAGGAAAAATCTTAACTCATCATTAAGAATTCATGCTAGATATATTGGTACATAATCTATTCTTCTAGCGCACTATTAATTCCGTGAATATATTAATAATATCTTTATCTTGGAGAATCATTTTCAACATCATCAATTGTTTCTTCATTACCTCACGAGTTAATGGCATCGTCGATCACTAAACTTTGATTTTTAACTCTTATTATAAGTCGAATATTATGTAAGTTATTTAGTTTCATCTCGTCCATCAACAAAACATTATTAGAACTAATATTTGGTAAAAGAATGGTATTAACCAATAGATCTACTCGCATGAGGCTTTATATTTTGAAGTAGAGGGTATTGCTCTCTTTACCGGCACTCTCCGTGTCTACATCATCATCAACATTACCAATTGTTTATTCAATATCAATTCTATGTTTTTCATTCAATACTTTTTTATATGTAGCAATCTCCTCGGCAAAAGTAACACAAGAATTTTTTGATAAATGTTTTTCATTTACTTGAGCCCGTCGTCTAGACCACAATTTTGAAGATGTTTTATATTTAATTTCGCTTTTTTTGGGTTTAATCAATCGCATTTTTATCATGTAAAATTTATATCAAATATTACATCTAGCAATAATCATTGATGCCTTGGTGAGTTTTCATCTTTTGCCACCAAAATAATTAATGTATACAAAAATGTCTAAGGCATGAGTTAAAATTAGATTTCTTTGTAAATCCATTACATGTGTCACATCATTCAAAGTCGGTTTACAACATGTTCATATCTTTATACACATAACAACAACTCCTGGAACACTCGCGTAGAAATCATTGCCCATCATTGCTATATTAAAGCCTTTTGTTTTCTACACGGTAAAGAATTTCTTTCTAAAAGTAACATGATATGTAGACACTCGAGTTAGCAACTTAATTCACGAGAAAAATCCGTAACATTATCTTCAATCTAAAGTTAATACTATAATGATGTTCTCACCGAGTCTTAGCAATTGGTTTGGCTTTACCTAATTCAATTGTCAAACAAATCATGGTAATATAGTAAATTTTACATCTTTAGCTTCCAAATTGAATTTTTGAAGCCGTCAATTTGATCATGGTTTTCAAATTATTTTTCTCCATTTAATATATATAAATATTCCGACTAAAACTCTTATACCATTGTTGAAGATTTAATCTCACTCCTTATAAATTAGATCTTGTGAGAAAATAATCAAGTCGAACACATACCATGATCAAGAATACAACTATAAGAGTACCAAATTTACGTAAAAATCCCTTTCTATTGTAGAGGAAAAACTACAAGACCAACTTCAAAAATAATCTATTATAATCAATAAAGCAATACAATCACTCAAGTTTATTTGTGAACTTTAGAAATAAAAATATTGATAATGATACAAGTTACCTCTTTAGCTAAATTTATCTCATTTAAAAAATCTAGAATCCGTAAAATTTTCATGTTTCTACAAAATTCACTACTTGTGTGAGATCATCATTTTAAACATTATAATTTTTTGATGATTGTGTTACCTAAAAATCAAAGCTAGAGAAAATTCTAATATTTTGTGCATAAAAAATCCTTTCTTCTTATAGAATTCGTCAAAAAAAAAAAAAAAAAAAGCTCTTTGTTTTTGTTTTTGTCTTTGTTTTGGTTTTTTTTTTTTTTTTCTTCTTCTTCTTCTTCCTCTCCAATTGCTATGTTTGGCAATTTTATAAAAAAGAAAGACTAAAACTTATTTATCTTGGCTAAACATGAAAAATAAACACAATAAAAGAAACTTTGTATTTCTAATTTTACAATTTTCTTTTTCCTATATAACTTCAATTCTTTTTCGTGAATAATCTTTTTCTTAAGTAATGTTTTTACTAATTAATTTCTTAAATAGTTATGTTAAGGTCACCTAGGAGGTGGAACTATAGCATATATCCAACAATATATAAGTAGACTATTTTATATTTTTTGCTAAGAAAATTTAAGCTCTTATCATACTAATTTCTAATTTGAAATTAAACAATCTTCACTTTATGTCAGACCAAATCTGAAATAGACTATTTTATATTTTTTCGGTTAGAAAATTTTACGCTTGTATTATACTATTTTTTTATTTAAAAAAAAAAATCTTATCTTTATGTCAGGCCAAATCTTAAAATCTTTTTTTAAAAAATTATGATTGCATATAACTACGTAATATTAAATGTAACAGATGAGATTTAAAATCTTAGTCTTTATATATATATATATATATATAACTTATTTACTATTATACCAATCAACTGCTGGTAAAAAGGAGTACAAGAACACAAGTAACATAGGACTGCGTGTCATATTGTGCATCCTCACCGCACGTTTACAGGCATCCAAAACTAAGCCCACTCCACAACCATCTACTCTCGTCCCCATTCATCCTCCATGTAATTCCTCGCCAGCTAACCGTCAAAGCCACCGTCATTCTCTCTCCACGTGGTCCCATGGAACACTCCCACGTTTCACTTGGCATGTCAAACAAGTGCCTTATGGAAGTGTAAAACCCCAACCAACCAAGAATCAAGAATGGAGTTAAGTTTAGCTTGTGAGCAAACAGGCTCAGCAATTTTTGGATCTCGACCTTATCCCACATTAAATGTTCACCCTCAAACCCAACTGCACCCGTGCAACTGTTGCTTGAAATAAGAGTTGGCGTAAGCAAATACACAAAAGAGGTCTCAAGAATTTATGGAAGGGTCGTCATAATTGGTCACTACGAAAAATAATAATTCATCGCCATTTAGAATCCAATGGTACATAACATGATTATTATGAGATGAACGATGCATACCATTGCTTACTACAAGCAATTTTTTTATTAATCAAATTTTTTTTATTAATGTAAGTGTTAATTGAGTTTTTGTATTGAATTACTTTTTTTATTAATGTGAATCGTTTGTAAGAAATTTTAAAGATAATGTTAAGTAAATTGTATAATCAATCGACACGTATTATTTGACCTCATTGATCTTATTAGTTATATTTATTTTTTATTATAAAAAACATTTATTGAAATTATATATATATATATATAAAAGATCAACGAGGTCGGAGAACACACGTAGTTTGATTATACAATTTATTTAACATTGTCAACGAAATTACACACGAGAGCTTAAATTAAATAAATAAATTTAATAAAAAGATATAATTGATACTTAAATTGATACAAAGACATAATTAATTGAAAAATGTTAAAACATTTGAATAGTTACTAACAATAATTACTTTATGAATCCACTCTAAAGAAAGAAAATATTATATCTAAACTTACTAAAAATGATAAACATATTTTTATTTAGACTCAATTATTTTCTTAATTATATTTATCTTTTTTTTTTGTCTATATTTCTCGTATTTTACAAGTATTATTATGTACTTTTTAAACAATTAACAATAATTATTTTATAGACTCATTTTAAAAGGATAAGAAAAAAAACAACTAAATTCACTAAAAACAATAAAAATATTGTTTTCTATGCTCAATTATTATTTTTTTTTAATTTCATTGCTTTTTTTCTTTATATCTCTCTCTTTTTATTAAATAATATCATTAGTTACATAATTTTTTTAATTAATTAATTGCTCGTAGCATAGGGATAATATGAAAACCTCTAGCCCAATTATTACGTAGCTTTACCTCAAAGAACTACTTACGGTTACAAAAAAAATCGTAAATGTAACAAGTAAGCCCAGGAAAACAGAGAAGTACTTTAGAGCAAAGTACAGGGACCTCATATCTATCACTGTCTGATTAGACAGACGGGTAAGAGTTTTCCTTTTATTTTTTTATTTTTAGTTCCTGCTATTGATGACCCGATTTTATCATGATGATCATCATGTGTGACAAATCCAACACATGATGAATGGGGCTGGGTGGTGTGTTATTGGTTCTTTTGATGCTCTTTTTATTGACAAGACTATACAAAAACATTTACCAGAATTCGCGTCAAGTGTCAACGCCGTTAGATTTTTTCAAAAAATAAAAAAGTGGTTAGCTTGTCTTTGTCGACTTGCTCTACGATTTGGCAGTGACTGAGTGGAGTATTCTACCAACCAAAACCATGCCAACTTCAGCTAGCAGCTACAGGGCAAATAAAAATTCATTGCTTGATGGCCAATAATCTTGCACCTCCTTACAGTATTTCCTTTTTTGTAATGATCTAGTTTTAGTGTTTGCACCCTGTATGCATATGACCATATAAGGATGTAAAGACTTGTGGGTCCAGCCCTCCAATAACCCAACTGGTAGGGCAGGGTGGGTTGGCCCTACATTTCACGAGTTCATGATGATGATCACTTACTTTTTGAAAAAATAGTCTTCGAAAAAATTATAATACTATACTACTTGCGGTACGTAGTACTACACATAATAATTAAAAGAATATTAAAGACAAGTGGATGAGAAATTAGGTAAATAGAGAATTGGGAAAGGAATGGGGAAGGAGAGAGAAGAAGAGTTTTTTTGCACTCCATCCTCCTTTTCTTTTCCTTATATATCTTATTTTTGTTTTGCAGCTGGGCATATAAACACATATAAACAACTCCACGAAGGAGAGCTCACTACTCCTAGAAACTTTTAATATATTATCTATAAATACTCCCTCTCCTTTGATCATAATTAAAACCCTAGTTCGACTTAGGACCAAAACAAAAAAAAAAAAGTAAAAAATCCAAGAGATAAAAGAAAAATTAAAACTAGAATAATGAAAACCCATTTCCATGTATATTATGGCATCAAACTTCTAGCCCTCCAAGTTGAAACTATTGACTGAACCACCAAAGTTCCATGCAAACCTTCACATCACATTACAACTTGAGGTGTTTTCATCACTGAAAAAGTTGGTATATTGATCATTTCCATTCAGGTGCGGGTGCGGGTACGGGTACGGGTATGGATATGGGTGTGGAGGCATATAATTTACTGCTGGTGGGGGCCTAGCATACATCATGGGCTGGAACCTCTCATTACCCATTGCTCTTTGTTGATTCATCACTGCTGCTAAGTACTGTTGTTGCTGCTGCTGCTGCTGCTGCTGGTATGGGTTACCAGGCATGAGATCCGGTCCAGCTCCTTGAAAGTACCCATTAGCACCACCGCCAGCACCAGCAGCAGCACCACCACCACCACCAATGGCAGCCGCAGCTGGCAGACCTTGAACAGCAGGCAGGTTACTCATTGGGCCCATAGGCATGCTGCCCATTTGGCCCATGGGTATGTTCGGCATTTGGCCCATGTTTCCATGGGGTCCACCCATTTTCTGAAACCCATCATTCATAGCACCCCCAGCCCCATTATTTCCCTTTTTACCCCCATTATTTTGCATGTTATTACCATTACCACTGTTGATGTTTTTGTTGTTACCACCACCACCACCGTTGTTACAATTTTTGCCATCTTGTGGCTTCCCACCACCACCATTTTTGCCACCTTGATTTTGACTTCCTCCATTATTATTACCTCCTCCACCGCCACCGCCACCTCCACCTTTTTTCCCCCCATTTCCATTTTTACCATCACCACCACCTCCACTCATATGCATCTGAACAGGTACGGCTCCATTACCACCCCCACCACCAGCCTTTTTACCATTAGCACCGCCATTTGGAGCACCCTTTTGCGAGTTCAGGAGATGGGGAGGTATAGCATTCATCGTCATGTTATTAGGACCTTGAGGGCCATTACCCATGATTTGTCTCATCCTATTAAGCGGATGTTGAGGGTCATCCATCTCATCATCGAACTCATCATCCTCAAAATCGTCAAAATCTTCATCATCAAATTCATCATCGGTCATGTCATCATCTTCGGGGATTGCAAATTTTACATTCTTCTGATTCTGTTGCTGCTGCTGCTGCTGGTTAGGCGGCATTTTCATGTCCTTCAATTGAGGCAGCTTCAGATCTTGGAATGCTTTCATCTGTTGAAGCTGTTGTAGCTGCTGAAGCTGTTGGATTTGCTGAGGGCTTGGTTGACCACCTTTGACCTGGTTATTATTGTTTTGGTTATTGCCCTTTTGACCTTTGTTGTTGTTGCCTCCTTTGCCATTATCAATTTGCATGTTCTTGAACTGGTTGGCTAAGTGGTTCTGGTTATTGTTGTTGCCCTTCCCCGCACCCCAAAGCTCAGCATGTTTCCCTGATTTTGCAAGTTTCTTCATGAGTACAGCTGGGTCTACATTACCTGAAACTGTTACCTTCCCTTGCTCTGAATCTATGCTGGTAGTGAAAACGCCTGAAATAAATCATCACTCCAAAAGAACAAATCAACTACAAGAAGTCACACAATGAAAATAGTAGAAGAACTTGAATTAAAAAAAAATTAGTAATTCAAATAAAACATACAATTTTTTTTAAAAAAAGAGAACTATCATTTTCAAAAGAAAAGAACCAAAGAAAAGAAAGAAAAAAAAAAAAAAAGGGGAAAGAAGCTATGGGTAACTGGAAGTAATACCATCAATTTTCTGAAGTATTTTCTTGACTTTCTGTTTACATCCATCACAGTGGATATTCACTTTGAGAACACAAGTCTGCATGCACAAGCAAACATAGCGTTAAAAGAGATGCCCAAAACAAAAAGAACCAAAAACAAAATGAGACACCAAGGAAGAATACCAAACAAATAAATAAATAAACACGTTTGAGTTGAAGTGAAGCCAAGAAATTGAAGAAAGAACACAATGAGTGACTGAGGTCAAAGAGGTAAGAAAATGGGTACCTGGATCTTCAAGAACTCTTCTTTACTCATATTTTTCCACTCAAATATAACAAAAACAAAGGTGCAATAATAAAAAAGAGAAAAAAGGGTTGGTGGGTAGTAGATCTGAGAAACAGAAAGAAGGAGATAAAATTTACAACAAATCCCACAATGGGTTCTTCTTCTCTGTTCTTTTTTAGGGTCTTCAGTTGAATAAGAAAAAAACACAGAGAAAGAAAGAAAAATGAGAGAAAACAAATGAGTCTCACTCAGTCTCTGAGCAGAGAAAGTAAAAGACACAACAACAATATCAAGACTCAGTCTTTGGAGAGAGAGAGAGAGAGAGAGAGAGAGAGAGAGGGGTCACAAGATTGGGGTGCACATTAAACTTCTCTGCTTCCTCTATTTCAGGGCAAGAGAAAGAGAGGAGAGAGGGAGAGAGTGAGAGTGAGGTAGCTTGTAGAAGCAAATTAGATAAAGAGTGGCAGAGAGAGCGTAGTGCTTGCAAGGCTTCACCCTCTCTTTTGGTGCTTTATTTATTGCTATATATTTTTGCTAGCCTCTGCTCCTGCTATTGCCCTCCCCCACCCCCCAGATTTTCTAAATTACCACACGGTCTTTTCTACCATCTTTTCTTACAACATGCTTAAGTGCCTGTTTGGCATTACACATAAGGTTGGGTTGAGCCATTTCATGTGGGCCACTTGGCTTGGCTTGGCTTGACTTGGGTTTAGTAGTGTGGCTTGGCTTCTGTAGTTAATTTTTTCTTCTTTAGCGTGAGAGAGAGAGAGTGGTAACAATAAATGGGCCATATGGTAAGATCAGATTTGTTTTTAATCTCTGATAAATAGGGTAATCAGATGCGAATGAACTCTTGTCAGATATTCTCCCCAGATTTGGGTGGGCACATTAAATAGTGCCATTTAATACCTAGGCACCTTTAGGTTGCTTGTAAATTATTATTATTATTCACGGCTAAAATGTTCTAAAATCTCATTTTAGCATTATTTGAAGATTTTTTTTTAATCACACACTTAACACTTCGAACAGAATTAATTTAATAAAATTTGAATCTGAAATTTTTTATTACAAGAGATATCTACTATTAGACTACGAACTCTTTGGTTATTTGAAAATTACTCACAATGATTGATTTAAGTAAAAAAAGGAATCTAATTATTTAAATAAATAATCTCAAATTTGAATATTTGTATATATAAGAAATTCTTTAGATAATTGTTTATTTCTGAATTTTTAGACTTGAAATGCCCTATAGAATAAAAAAAAACAAAAATATTATTTGAGGATTGGAGGCTAGCTTCTAGGATAAATCTCTTTCAATTTTTTTTATTTTTTAAATTAGACTTTTTTTTATTAAGCTTTTATTAATTTTAACATGGGAGTACATTTGATTTATGTTGTTGACTTTTAACTCTTTTAAAAGCTAAAAATATACCAAAATTTATAAATATTTTGTTTTTACTTTTAAAATTTTTTACTTTCATTCAATTTTCGCTTTTTAGCATTTAAGAAGAAAGGAAGAAAGAAAAAAATTAAAACATTTATAAGTTTTGGTACGTATTTAGTTTGTGAAAATTATACTTATATATTAAAATTGATAAAATTATTATCTAATTTTAAATTAAAAAATAGTTGGAGGTAATCCAATAGCAATTGAAAGTTAAAAAATTTAATTTTTAAATTACTTAAATTTCATGAGAGGTTTGTACGGTTTAGTTTTTTTGCACTCTATATTACGGTGGTATTTTTTTTTAACATGTGTATATATATATATACACACACTTTGTATTTCTTACATGAGCATGAGCGAGTTAATGAAACTTGCCTATCCATCAAAATTACTTGCATACCCTTTTGCATAATGCTTTGGGTTGCTCGTACTAGTGGATCCATGCTTTAGAAATGGAAAAAAAATGTTGATGGTGCAATTAGAGATGTTCACTATTCGATAAAAACCAAATAATCAAATCGAATCATATCAAACTATTAATTTTTGATGCGGGTTTTTTTAGAAATTAAAAAAAATCAAACCAAAATATAGCCGATTTTCGATTGTGGTTTCGGTTTAAAAAAATGATTAAACCGAATAACCGAAATTATTAATTTTTTAAAAAAATTCATCAATGAAATGACGTCGTTCACTCATTTCTAATTTCTAAATAACCGAGTTCTTGTTCGGTTGTTCCTCCTCTCGTCTCTCACGCCCCTCAACCCCTCACGAGTCACGCCTCTCTTAGTCACCGGACTTAACCTCACCTCACGCTCACTACTCACAGCCCTCAATCGTCGGCCCTCGCCGGTTACCCCTCACAGCCTCACTCCTTCACCGGACTCACCGGTCGCCACGAGAAACCTAATTACGAATTACCTAAGCCTAAAATCTCCCTTACACAACCACATAAGAAACCCAAAGTCCAAACCTAAAATCAACCCTAAATTCCTAATTCTAAATCGCAATCAATCACTCCACAGTCGATACTTAATCTTCATTCTTCAATCGATTAGTGTTAGAGGTAGAGAAAAATCAAACCTCCTCTTTCGATTTACTCGCAATGAGTTCTATTTGGAATCCAACTATCCAAGTCCACCATTGGCCTCGAGTTTACTACTCGACACTCGCACTCTTTAAGTAACTAATCATACTCTCCTTCTCTCTCTCGCTTTATATACTACTAGTGCTAGACTTTGCTAAAGCTTGGTTTTCTTACCTATCAATTGCTTTATCTAGTTATCTTTGTTCTATTAATCGTATCTCGTGTGAGTTCTTATTTTTTCGAGTGAATTCTTGAATTGAACTATAGTCCGTACTCGTCCCCTTACACCCCTTAATTTTATGGTCGTGTTTCTTATGGTTTGGTGTCAAGCGTGTGATGTTGAATTATCGTGGGGGTTCCTATTTTAGATGTGTTCATCGGTTCAAAATTTGATAAAATAGTAGAAATTAGTTTACGAAATAAATTTATGATACATCGGATCTTCCATTTATGATTAATTTGACTTGTATCTACGTGAGTTACTTAAATTTTATAGGAGGTTTGTACGGTTTAGTTTTAAACACTATATTATAATGGTATTTCTTTTCTTTTCTTTTCTTTTTTAACGTATTATGTTGTATTTTATATATATATATTTCTTACGTGAGCATAAGCGAGTTAATGAAACTTGTCTATGCGGCTAAATTACTTGCATAGCCTTTTGCATAATGTTTTGGGTTATTATACCAGTGGATCCATGTTTTGGAAATGGAAAAAAAATGTTGATAGAGGAGTTAGGGGTGTTCACTAATCGGTGAAAACCGCATAATCAAATTGAACTGTATCAAAATATCAATTTCGGTGTGGTTTTTTTTAGAAATTAAAAAAACAAAACCAAAATATAGTCGATTTTCGATTTTGATTTTGGTTTTTTTTTTAAAATCAATTAAATCGAATAACCAAAATTATTAATATTTTTTTAAAATTCATCAATGAAACGATGTCGTTCGCTCCTTTCCGACTTCTAAGTAATTGAGTTCTTGTTCAATTGTTCCTCCTCTCGCCTCTCACGCCCGCAGCCCCTCGGCCCTCGCGAGTCACTAGTTAATCCTCCATAGTCCACTCTTCCTCTCGGTCTCTCACGCCCTTTACGAGTCACGCCTCACTCGGCTACCGGACTCACCCTCACCTCACGCTCACTCGCTCACAACCTCGGCCTTCAACCGTCGGCCTTCGCCGGTCGCCCCTCATAGCCTCACTCCCTTACCGGACTCACCAGTCACCATAAAAAACCTAATTATGAATTACCTAAACCTAAAATCTCCCCTATATAGCCATATAAAAAACCCAAAGTCCAAACCTAAAATCACCCTCAAATTCTCAATTCCAAATCGTAGTCAATCACTCGATAGTCGACACTTAATCTTCATTCTTCAATTGGCTAGGTTAGAGGTAGAGAAAAATCAAACCTCCTCTCTTGATTTACTTGCAATAAGTTCTACTTGGAATCCAACTATCCAAGTCCATCATTGGCGTCGAGTTTGCTACTCGGCACTCGCACTCTTCAAGTAACCAACCATACTCTCATTCTCTCTTTCACTCTATATATTACTAGTGTTAGACTTTGCTAGAGCTTGTTTTTCTTACCTATCAATTGCATTATCTAGTTATCTTTGTTCCGTTAACTATTGTGGATATTTACTAGACAAAATGTAAAGAGAAAAAGAAGAGAATCATATTCATAGGATCGTTGATCCATGTCCATGAAAAATGATAAGGATTATAAATTAGGTTTAATATTTGTATTTTGTACGATTAGTTGGTCACAAAGACATAAAATTTACTCTCTACTTAATGAGAACTGGAAAAACTATGAACTCGCCACCAAAAATTTATTCATAACGGGAGGTCAATATCGATGAAAAAGTTGATTGTGTTGTAAAAATGGAGATAGATATGTAGGATTAGTGTTTATTGATTAATTTAGCATTTTAAGTACCTTGGATTTAAAATTATGGTTGAAACTTGAAAGATGGAATCCTTGGTAATTTTTTCGAGTGAATTCTTAAATTGAACTATAGTTTGTACTCCGTCCCTTCACACCTTCTAATTTTGTAGTCGTGTTTCTTATGGTTTGTTGTCAAGCATATGATGTTAAATTATCGTAGGGGTTCTTATTTTACATGTGTTCATCAGTTCATGATATGATAAAATAGTAAAAATTTGTTTATGAAATAAATTTATGATACATCGGGTCCTTCATTTATGATTAATTTGACTTGTATATGTGTGAGTTACCGCTTTTTTAATTGATGATATTGATGATTAGAAGCGTAGTACGAGCCGATTATTGTTTGTAATCGGTTATATTGATGGATTAAAGTTAAATTAAATTGGTTGTTCGATTGTTCCTAATTTACATGTTTTTTTTCATGGATTTGTTATGATTTTCTATTCCAGTTGGTTTGTGATTTTATAGTTCTTATATTCTACTCTTCAAAGAAAATTTATATTTTTATTAAATTATTTTTTATACATAGTAGGAGCTCAATATTG